CATGACAAGCCGCCCATATTCAAAATACCACAATGACAGGCACTCCCATCATGAAACAACTGTTACAAATTACCATCTGCAGTGCAGTAGCGTAGTTCCCAGGTATCAGTATATATAGTTAGTCAGGGTGAGAATACACTTGCCCTCTTGAGATTGTTCCTGCAGGCATTTCTCATGAATTTCTATAGGTATTAGGGCTCTCCTGACTTGCATTAGCTGACAGGCAGGTGTTTCTTGCCCACTTGCTGTGTGCAGTACCATTGTGCCTGATTTTGTAGGATGTTTTAAAGATATTTATTTGGAGGGTATAACATAAAGCTTGAAATTACTGTAGCAGAGAGCCCTGTGTGAGTTTCTCTGCTGTGTGGCCAGGAGGGATGGCACTGGACTGTTGCAGGCCATCCTGGTCCTTAGGAGAACCATTACCTGGCATTATGGGTACACTGTAGCTATGTGATGGTACAGCACTTGGGGGACGTGGGTGGCTAGGCAGTTCTACACCAAGTGGGCTAGGCAGAGTTAAAGGGTCTCCCTTTCTAATTTATTTTCTGGATAATATCAAATTTTAAATAATAATAGTGGGAAAGCAGTCCGGCTCTGGTGCTTTGTATCCATTTAATGATGCCAGATAATCCTAAACTCCCTCATTATCTCAGTGTGAACTGTGAGTTATGCCCTCTTGCCATGGCCTCTTTACCAAATTCTGCCTCTCAGTAAAACTGATGGGAAAGTAGCTTTTTACTTCAAAAAAAATTAGTGTTTTCTGTTCCTTAGAATTTATGAAATACTTGTGATTGGTTATGTTTTTGACTTAGTTTATAAGTAACAATGTTTTATGGTCCCATTTGAAAGGAAATGTTTGACTCTAGCTGTTTTTCATGGTGTCAGTAAATAGTGAAATGACAGATTATTGCTGTTTGTTTTTCTGCTTTAGAAATTTAACATTTGGGTGGGATGGACCATCATGGAGGTTACTCACGGCTCTGAAGTTGCTCTGTCTGGAAGCAGAAAAATTGTAAGTTCCACATGAGTTGGTCTTAAGCTGTTGTTACAGTCTGGACATAACTTTGGGGCATTTTTTCCTTGGATTCAGAAACTCATCCTGAGAGGAGAAAGGCTTGTCATCCTATGTTAGCGTTCCTTTTTTATGTGATTCGCTCTCTTAGGGTGGTTTTACTTTGGAGTTTTGACCACTTCTGGAATTCTGGTTTTTAGATTACAATCAGTACATGGCTCTGAGGATCTTTCATTTCAGTCTCTCCTCAAATGTTCACCTAAGTGACCTGATGTTTCTGGTTCAGAGCAAACACTGCCAGCCCCATGCGAGCTGGTGCTGTTTTACTGGTCTCTGAGCAGGCAGTGTTTTCCTGGTGAGCAGAGCCCCTTCAGCTCCCCCTGGGTCGGTCTGGCCCCTGCTGGAGGAGAGGCCTTGTATTTTCCTGGGGGAGGCCAGTGTGAGGAGCCCCTGGTGAGGACAGGTGTCCTACTCAGGCTCCTTCACGTGCATCTGAGGTTGTCAGCCCCCCACAGCCCAACCTGTGCCTACCAGTCACCACATAGCACTGTGCTCTGTCCAGCACAGGGCATCTTCAGCCTGGGACTGGTCAGGAGAGCAGTGTCCCTCTTGCTGTCCAGTGTGGAGGGAATACTTCCTGAAGATGGTAAACCTGCTAGTTAATTTTGATGCCCACTTGATTGGATTGAAAAAGGCCTATTAAACTGGTAAAGCACACTCTTGTATGTGTCTGTATGGATGTTTGTAGGGACTAACTGCATATCAGAAAGCAAATAAAGTGGGGAATACCTATTTTGAACATGGACAGCAGTATCCTGTAAGCTGGGGGCCCAGGCTGAAGAAGAGTGGAAGGAGGAAGCCCCCCACCCTGCTGCTCGGTTGCTTTGGCTTCTTGTTGCTTTGAGTGGAGCACATTTCTTCCACAATGCCTTTCCATCATGATGTTTCTGCCTTGCTACAGACTCAAAAGCAATGGCGGCAGGTGACCAGTGACTAGATCCTGAATCCATGTGCCAAAAGGAACCTTTTATTCATTAAGCTATTTATGTCAGGTGTTTTGTCACATTGAGAGGAAGCTGACTTGCACAGGTAATTGGTACCAGGAAGAAGGATCATTGATGTGAACACACCACATCATGTAGCTCAGAAGCTTTGCATGTGGTTTGTCGGAGTTTGCAAAAGTTTAAAAATACAGATTGCAGAAGCCCTGTCATGTAAGTGGAGCTTCATTCTAGAGGGAAGTCCAGAATGTTGGTTAAAATGGGCACAGTGGAGGCCATGCTCTTGGGGTTTCAGATGTAAATGATGACGTTCTGGCAAAGAACTTGCCTTGTTCTTGTCCTGATATTTTGCATGCGGCTGGATTTAATGGTGAAGGACTAATTTATATGATAAGATAAACTGAAAGTTTTGAAAAACTTGCAGTTTTCCCAGGAAAGATGTAAAGTTGGGACCACAGAAAGTGTGGTTGTTGAAGAGATTACCACCATGAAAAAGAAAATGAGTATTGTACCAGCTCAAAAGGGAAGATACCCTGCGGGCTTGTCAGGAATTAGCAAGACATCTTTGAAGGGCCAGAGATGTAAAAGAATAAATCTTTCATTTGAAAGAGTCTGGGCATTCTGTTTAAGTGGGTCTGCTTAGGAAATTGGTTTCTCAGCATTCATTTCACCAGGCTCAGGCAATCAGAGGCTGCTGCAGGCATGGTCTAAGCGGGCTCAGCTGTTGCTTTTGATGATGGCAGACCTTGGCATTGTACATATGGTGCTGGTTTTGCAAGCATGTAGAATGTAAGAGTTTTGGGATAACAGACACTTCCAACTAAACTTGAGAGGAAGACCTGGGACACCAGACAGTGTGTGTGCAAAATTAGAACCCCTGAAGGTAACTCCTGCTGATTCATGAGGCTGGGAGTGAACCTAAACCTGCGATAGAGATTTCAGGAAGTTAAATGCCAGGAAAGTGGAATGTCTATGGAGAAAAGCTGAAGGCCCAAGCCAAGCCATCGTAACAGGTGGCTGTGCTGTAGCTGACAAGGCTGGAGGATCAGGACTCCCTAAGTCCTTTGGAGCTCACATCCATGAATTCTGGGCATGGGTTGAATGTTTGCCCTGCTGCAGTGTGGTCTTTTTCTTATTACTCCTTGCTACTTATTACTTCCATATGGAATAGAGGTATTTACTTATGCCTATTCTACTATTGTATATGTGTTTAACTTGCTTTTATTTTTACAAATACTTATGGCTAAGACTTTGCCTTATACCTCAGATGAGACTTCAGATGTAAGCTTTTGAGCAGTTTTGGAGCTATTCAGACTTTAGGGAAGGAATTGGTGCTTTTTAATTTGAATTTGAATTTTTAAGTTTTTTTTAAATGTATTTGGTTGTTGCAGGGTCTCATTACAAAGCTTGGATTCATGGTGATCCTCTTGCTTTCAGCTTCCCCAGTGCTGGACTCTTTATTTTTAGTTTTGCGGTACCAGGGATCAAATTCTGGACCTGGCGTTTGCCAGGCAGGCACTTAGGCTGCTGAGCTATCTTCTCAGCAATTAGTGCTGTTTTAGTTGTATGCTGATGTAGTTGTATCATGTTAGGTAGAATTATGGCCTTGTTACTGTCTTTATTTGGACATTATGGTTTAAAGAGATACAATTGAGAGTCAAATTGACAAAAAGTGGGCTTGTGATGATTAATATTGGTGTCAACTTGATTTGCTTCAGTAACACCCAGGAAATTCAGTAATTCCTTAGAGGAGAGTCTAGGTTAGATTAACTCTGTGTTATAGTTTTGGACAAAACATTTCTTAAATGATCAACAGTTTTTACATGCAGAGCTGGGTAGAATCTAACGTAAAGCTTAAGGCAACAAAGGGGACAGACATAGTGTGAAGAAGGAGATGTCAAGCATTTCCATCTCATTCCATTCTCCCATTGGACATCTGTAGGCACAAGAAGTGGTTTGCATGTCCTTGAAGAGTAAACCAGGTCATTGTCATCGTAAGCCACACATCAGAGGTGTTATTTACAGCAAAACCAGTGGGAAGCCAGTGTCACCCAGCTGTGTGACTGCCAAGATTAGTGATTTTTTAATTCAACTAAGAACAACTACATATTTTCCTTGGCATCAAGGGAGAGACTCATTATGAAGGGACTGTGATTCTGCCCCAGTACACAGCCTGGCATGGCTCACTGAGGATATTTCATAGGATGAGATTATTTCCAAGAGCTGATACTTGCTCAGGGGTCCCTGCTGTGGTGGTTGTGGATAATCCTTCTCCTCCTATAGGGCCTTGGGAGTAAAATCTCTCCCTGGTCTTGGTAGCAACAATACTGATAAGATGCAGTATTGATCATAAATGCACAAATAACTACAATGAATATGACATTACTGTAATAATGGAGGTACCTACTCTTGTCACTCTGGTGAGGTCAAGTGCTTCTGGGGTTTTGCTTAATGTAGCCTATAAGGCTAATTGCCTCTGTTGAGGCAGCCATCTGTCTAATAATAAATTGCTCGTGGCAGTAAAAAGTGGGGTCTACAGGGTGTTCAGGGTCTCACTGCTAGATTGGACTCATAGTGATCCACCTGTTTACAGTCTCCCAAGAGCTGGGATTATAGGCGCGCGCCACAACACTCAGTCTCAATTGCTATTTTAGCATGCCCCGGGGGCGGAGCCAGCAGGGCAGGCCCTGTGCCTGCTTGCAGGCACTTGATCTTCTGGGTTCTTATGCATTCTTCTTATGTATAATACACATACCGTACCAGGTTTGTATTAATGAACTGGGTAAATGGTTGTTAAAGCTTCCAGTCAACAGCAGGTTTTTAGAAGTTGAGTTTTGGGGGAGTCAGAATTCTATACAAATCTTCAACTGTGTAGAGTGGAGGTCAGCTTGTCTAGCTCCTGAACTGTTCGAGGGTCTAGGTAGATGTTTTTACCTTCATCCCATGATACATTTTTATCTTACAAACTTGGTGGCTTCTATAACTGATATATTTGTTTCTTTCTACTATAAAAACTCAAAAGTTGTGGTCCACTGAAAGGTGCAGGATGCCAAGACCTGTGATTCACCACTGACCCTTTCCTGGCTGTATGTTTACTTTTGCATCTTTCACTTTGCCTGTTTGTCTTGTCTTGTTCTCCCCATCATTCATCTTATGTAATGTTTTATCTTGTGTGAACCCGTGTAAGTGTCCGTAAATCTTCCTTGGACCAAGGCCTGTATGATTTTTGTTTTCAGGCATTTTGGCATAAAGTTAAATAAAGCTGCGATGTGTCCCAGAGTCACTTTCTTTCCCCCGAATGAGTTCCTCCTGACAATTGATGTGGCAGACATAGCATGTGACCGGGATTCTGCCTGGTGTGGGTCTGTGCACCCTGTCTCCCTCCATTTAGCTCTGTCTCCCAGGGTGAGGTCTCCCACTTTCCAGAGCTCCAGTTTCTTGAGTCTGCTATGGGGATAACAGTGCTGTCTGTGTAGATTATTGTGCAGGTCACATGAGGTAATGGATATGCACGAAACATCATGCCAGGTACATAGTAATTTTCTACTTTCTTTCATGAGAACTCGTGTGTTCCCAAGGTGTCTGCTGACTTCTCTGAAGGTGCAGACAAAACTGAGTGGCTTCTGTGTCTTCCAAGCTGTTTTGACTTTCTGCCTGGCACGTGTATCACCACGCTCATGACAGAGCAGCCATCTTCTGAGTCACTTCCTTTCCAAGCCTACAACCTGCCACTCCATCCTCCTCTTCCCTGGCTACTGATGCTTCCTTGTGTATAGATTTGCTCTGCCCTTGGGAAGCAGCACCCTGCTTTGGCTTCCTCAGGCCAGCCCTAATGCCCCCCTGTGCTCTTCTGCCTGCCAGAAGTTGGCCCCACCTGCCTGAGCTCTTCCTGAGCCCTGTGTGTGTTTAGATGGAGTGACCTGCACAGAGAGAAAGGCTTCTTGTCTGTAGGCTCCTCCTTCCAGGTTGTCACCTGTTAGGAAAGACTTCACCGGAAGAGAAGGAAGCTCTGGGCCTGAACTCCTTTCTGCTGTGATCTTGTTTTCCCGCCCCATCTCTTACCTCATGTTCTGTCTTGTCTTATTCCCACAGCTGGTGGATACGACTTCATTTACTTGTGTGCCAGGCACAGGGTTATAATGATAATAAAATTGGGTCCCTTTCAGCAAAGAGTGCCCGATCCCCTGGTTTTTCAGTCCTGGTTACTCCTTCTCTCATGTACTGTGCCATCTTCCACAGGAGCCACTAATGGCATGGAGGTTTTAGGAAATTACTTGTGGAAAAACTTACATCATGCTCCCATGAGAATAAGAAAGTCTGTGATTGTGATGGCATGTGAAAGTCATCTTTACGTTTTACGAAGCCTGCTAAAATTATTAAACATTTCGGTTTTAGTACTTGCTGGACGAAAGTACTTCTTGGGGAAGTAATTTCAGATACAAATGAGAAGACAAGTTTGAACATAGTGCAGAAAATATGTTATTATCTCATAGAAGAGACTACTGCTGTGCTTCAAAAGGTATGTTTCTAGAATATTACACCTTTTGGCGGAACTGGGGATTGAACTCCGGCCCTTGCGCTTGCCAGAGAAGTGCTTATTCCACTGAGCCATCTCCCTGACCCCTACATCTTTTTAATTGACAGGGAAAAATTGTATGTATTTAGGGTGTGCAGCATGATATTTTGATCTAAATATAGCATTACTGTGGAATGGCTTTGATCAAGCCTTTTTACATATTCCTCACCCCACATACTATTTTTGCAGTGGGAACCCTTAAAAATCTACTTCTTTTTTTTTCTCCATAATTTTATTGAGAAACAAATAGTAATGAGACAGTTTCAAACCAAATTGGTAGGAAAAATCTACTTCTTGACCACTTTTCTAGTGTACAGTATGCTTATTGTTCCTAGCTGTAGTCACTGTGAGGTACGCTAGATCTGTGGGACGTGCTCCTCCTGTCTAGCTAAATTCTACATCCGTTTCCAACATCTCCCCTTCCTCTTCAACCCCCATTTGGTAACCACCTGCTGCTCAGTTTCTGTGAGTTCAACTTTCGTTACCCAATGCACATAGGAGAAAACATTTTTATCTATCTGTACTTGGCCCATGTCATTTAGCGTAATATCTTCCTGGTTCAGGTTCAGGTGATGTTGCAAATGACAGGATTTCCTTTTTAAGACTGAACGATAGTCTGTGGCCTTTGCACACATAACGCGCCTGATCTTGTCTGATCCTGAAGCTAAGCAGGGTTGGGCCTGGGTGGTACTTGGACGGGAGACTGAACAGTGCCCCATTGTGTGTCTGCACCTTATATTCCTTCATCCAGCTCATGGGCCCTTAGATGATTCCGGATATTTGCCCACACCTTTAAGGAATTGCATGTTATTGCATAGATTTTTATGTTATTGTACTAGATTTTTTAAGTATTCTTTTTCTTATGTTTTCATATAAATGAGAAGTCTGATTTATATGAAGATTTGCCTGGGACTTTAAAAGTCATTTAGATAATCCTTGAAGATACTCTGAACAGAGAGACACAAAAGGAAAATGTTGTATGATTCTGTTTTTTTGAGGTCCCAGAATGGGCAGCTTCTTAGAGACAGAGTGAAATACAGAGAAGGGTTTGGAGCAAAGGGAGTAGGGTTATTAATTGTTACAGAGCTTGTGTGTAGGGTGATTTAAAAAAGTTTTGGAGACAAATTGTAAAACTGATTATAAAAGAATGTGAATGCATTTTATGGTACTGAATTGTTCACTTAAAAATGTTTAAGTGGTAAATTTTAGATGCATTTATATTTTATTATAATAAGAAATAACTTAAAATAACTTTCAGGTTTCTCACATGAAGGATGAAAAAGTGTCTCTGATAAACCAGCTTGCGTTAGTGGAAATGTTGTGGACAGAAGAGCTGAAGATTCTCAAGGCCTCTGCTGAGACCCTCAGCAGTTTGCAGACCACTGTTGTCTGACTTGCACTAGATGTGTTTGGTCACCTCCTATGGCGGGTGCTACTGAAACCTTTCTCAAGCCACAGTTGGAATAAATT